TGTGTGTGTGTGTGTGTGTGTGTGTGTGTGTGTGTGTGTGTGTGTGTACCTAAATATCACTTAATTTGCAGTTAAAATGAAAACAGTGCAGGGAAACCTCTCTGGATCTCATTTCAACACCTATATTGTTGTTTTCAGTGTCCGAACTACAAGTACTCAGTGTTATAGCTGCAATCGGGATTGGAATTGCCATTACTAAATTGCTTAGTTATAAAGCACAATTTCCCCAGACTGCTGCTTAGTGATGGCAGTTCTGACAGTTCTGGTTGCTGACGTTAAGCAAAGATTTTTGTATTTGCACATCACTCTTTCTTATAATAGGGAACACTTCCTTTCCATTTTAAATGGAACATTTTGTTTGAATAACCTGCATTATTCTATGCTGTACAGCAGTGGTTGCCAACCAGTGGGCCAGGGCCCACTGGTGGTCCGTGAGAAAATTTTGGTGATCTGCAGAGAAATGTTCCCTCCAAAGCACCCCCCCAAAGCAATTAATCCAGGCTGCATGGGAACACAAGGCTGTGCTGCCCACATGGCCCACCCACCCACTGGCCCCCACCTTCAGCCGAATGCAAACCTTACCTTGAGTAGAGCCACGCAAACTGGAACTGGAAGGTAAGACCAACGGCAGGGGAGGAAAATGCGCCCCGGGGTGGCTTGCTGATGTTGGTGGGAAAGTCGGTCCCATATTCCAGAGCTGCAGTAGTCCCAGGACTGACCCTTTGGTCATCCCAGAGCAGCTGTTCCTCCACCTACTAGCTGCTCCTACTATGGACTGGAGGATCTGCTCCGGGACGACCAGGGCCAGTCTTGTGACTACTTCAGCTCTGGAAGATGGGACAAGTCCTTAGTGGGGTTGGAAATCTCCGGGTGGCATGTGTAATGTGCAAATTTGCAGGAGGTACAATGTGCAAACAGCAGTGCAGCCCTTGCAGGCCAAGACGAGGTTAATGGTGCTGTTGCGGCAGGAGGGGGGGGCGTGGCACAGGCGGGCCGAAGCAGTGATGGAGATGGCTAGAAGGTGCGGGAGCGCCATGCTACTTGCATTTGCGGGGCATCAACATTTCACCCTTGCTCGAGGAACCCGGCCAAGGTTTCCTGCGCCGCTCGTGCTTCAGTGCTTTGACTCCCAAGGTTCAGCCAAGCTACCTGCAAAACAGTCTCTCTCTCTCTCAGAGCACTTGTGGAGAGAAGCAGCTGGAGCCACTCTTGTCTCTTAAGAGCCTGGCCGAAGTTTCCCATGCTGCTTCTGAGAACGGTCCTTGAGAGAGAGACAATTTTGCAGATAGTTTGGCCAAACTCCTGTCCCTGGGAGTCAAAATGCTGAAGCGCAAGTGCTGCAGGAAACTTTGGCTGGGCTCCTTGACCAAAGGTGGAATGCTGATGCTGTGCAAATGCAAGTAGCATAGCATTCCCGCACCTTCCAGCAATCTCCATTGTCGCTTCAACCTACCTGTGCTGCCAGCCCCCTCTTGCTGCAACAGCACCGTTACCTCGTCTGGCAGCGAGGGCTGCGCTGCTTTTTGCATGTTGCACCACCCGCAAATTTGCACATTATACATGCCACCCCCTACGGCGGAGGATTCCAACCCCACCACGGGCCAGTCCCATATTCCAGAGCTGCAGTAGTCACAAGACTGGCCCTTTCGTCATCCCAGAGCAGCTCCTCCAGTGCGTGGCAGGCCGGTGCACCCAGGTGGAAGAGCAGCTGCTCTGGAATGACCAAAGGGCCAATCCTGTGACTACTGCACCTCTGGAATACAGGACCGACTTTCCCACCAACATCAGCAAGCCACTGTCAGTCAAAATTCATATTAGTGGTCCGCGGGATTTAAAATTATGAGTTTGGTGGTCCCTGAAGTCCAAAAGGTTGGCGACGCCTGCTGTAGAGGACCTGCAGCCTGGACAATTCCCATTGCAGCTTCGACCCTTTTTAAAAAACCTAAAATGATGAGTTCCTTGATCATCTATCCCACTCGTGGTGCTGCAGTGGGAAGGAGAATAATATCGGTTTATGGGTGGATATGAAGTGTAACCTATTTCTTAAGAGTTAGAGGGAAAGCTATGCCTTCTTGCTGGGAAATTCCCAACCACAGTCAAAGCCACCAACACCTGAATAGCATGAATCAGCCACAGTCCCTCTATTCCAGCTTACCCTGCATTGCTTGAGGTTTGTTTTGTGTTGCTGAAACTTCATAAAACTGGCCACTCCCCACTTTGAATTGTAGAGCTTGGCTCTCCTGGCCCTGCTCCTCCTGTTCTCCCTTGCCCCATTCCTTCTGCTTCTCAGATAAAATAAAAAATCTGGGATTCAAGGCTGCCTAAGAAGCTTGCCTTTTGTCCTACAGCCTTCCCAAATGTTTTAGGATTTTCCATCATAGCTCTGGGAGTTGCAGTGTGTGTTGCT